TATGTATGTATGTATGTATGTATGTATGTATGTATGTATGTATGTATGTATGTATGTATGTATGTATGTATGTATGTATGTATGTATGTATGTATGTATGTATGTATGTATGTATGTATGTATGTATGTATGTATGTATGTATGTATGTATGTATGTATGTATATGTATGTATGTATGTATGTATGTATGTATGTATGTATGTATGTATGTATGTATGTATGTATGTATGTATGTATGTATGTATGTATGTATGTATGTATGTATGTATGTATGTATGTATGTATGTATGTATGTATGTATGTATGTATGTATGTATGTATGTATGTATGTATGTATGTATGTGTATGTATGTATGTATGTATGTATGTATGTATGTATGTATGTATGTATGTATGTATGTATGTATGTATGTATGTATGTATGTATGTATGTATGTAGTGTATGTATGTATGTATGTATGTATGTACTTATGTATGTATGTATGTATGTATGTATGTATGTATGTATGTATGTATGTATGTATGTATGTATGTATGTATGTATGTATGTATGTATGTATGTATGTATGTATGTATGTATGTATGTATGTATGTATGTATGTATGTATGTATGTATGTATGTATGTATGTATGTATGATGTTATGCATAGATACAGACACATGAATATATAATCGTCATCTGCATGAAATACAACTGCTGTGTAAAGATGGAACATAAAAAGGGCGTATGTAGACAATCCTGCGTGCCTAATTTGTAACCCTTTGAAAATAAAGTTCGTTCGTTCGTTCGTTCGTTCTTTTTGTTCGTTCTCTCTCTCTAAATTTGTGGTTACAGAGGAGAATCTGATACCTTTATCACGACCATAACATCATGTTCTGAAGATGATACCCCACGTCTCTCTTCAGATTATCCTCTCATAAGGAGTTCTGAGACGATATGAAATCAACGTCAGGTGACTCCTTCTTCTTCGCTTCCTCCTCCCCCATTCATCTCCTTCTCCTCCCCTAAGCCACGACACCTTTGTTGGAGCTCTTGTAGGTTTGCAGTCGAGATATGTTCCAGGGGTAGATTTTTAGATTATATTGCATATTATCTCCTCTCTTACTTTAATAAAATATTCCCCATAGGTTTCGTTTCTCTTTCATTATTATTATTATTATTTTTATTTATTTATTTTCTAATGCTACTTTTCCATTAAAACAATCAATTTACCTTTCTATGTCATTCTTTCTTTCATATATATGCTCTGACTAAATTTAAATGTTAGAGAAACAGTGCATGATGTCTGGGATTTATGAGCAAGGACCAATCACATGCCATGAAGACATCAGAGCCAACAGGCATATGTTTATACTGGTTAAGTTACTGATATTTAGTAATATTTGTTTCCTCTCTTTTCTGTTTCTCTTTTTAATAACCTTTTCTTCTTAGCTTTTACCATGGTTTATATTCGGCGAAAATGTGTTGTTATTTGTCCACATGTGGACTTGTTCCAGAACATAAGTTTTGCGTGTAACACCCGCTTTCCATGTCTGGCTTATCTCAGGCGGATGCACTGACTTCGATGGAAACTTATCTGATTAGTCGCCTTTTACCACATGTTATTTAGAATTAGTGGGGCAGTTTTCCCTGCCCCCACCACTACAACAGTGCCCCAGAGCCTACACGGAGGATTTTTTTTTAAAGCCAGTAAGGCAATTCAAAGATATCATTAGAAGGATGGGAACAGGACCTGTAGTAAGATTAATAAAAAAAAACAAAAACTGATATGGTGTGGCCACCTGCTTAAAAATGAATCCAGGGTCACCACTTGCAAGAGCATACAACATAATAATGGAAACATCAAGATGCAGAGGAAGGCCAAGAAGAATATGGATAGATAGTGTTAAAAAAACCTCTACAATATCACCACTCAACAAGAAGAAATATGTCATTTAACCTAGCCAGGATCATACAATGAGCGACCAACAGCCGGTGACACAAAAGGCACCCTTTCGGACGAGGATAACCTGAGCAAGAAGCCCAGAAACCCCGTTCAACCGTCAGGTTATATCAGAGCTCCTGACTACAACCGGAGTGGGGCTTTAAAATAACGAAAAATTGCGTTTCACACTGGGACGGGAGGTCGTTGAAGTAACGGTTTCTTCCCAATAGCTGACAATATATAACGTCACGGGACAGTCCAATATTTTCGAGGGTGGTAAGACCGGGTTTCCCAACCCGGCTCTCTGTGTTTTTTGTTTCTCGGCTTTCTGTGTGTCTTCCAAGGCGTTGTCAAGGCTTTCGCGCCTTTCTTCTTTCGGCGGCGTCTTTAAATCCTCCCAATTGCATATAAAGTAAAAAAAATTAAAAACAAACATGCATAGCTGTTTGTTTGTTTTAGTATCCAGAAGCCATGAGTTGTTAACCCTTAGGCTCGGTATTATGGATATCGGAACAATTCGGCCTTGATTCCATTTTAAATACCGTAAATCTGGGAGAAATGTGGCTTTTCTGCCCACCCCCAGGAGTGAACCCGGACCACAAGGAGTTCGTCACCCGGTCACCGCGCAATCCGGTTTAGCCAACCACGCTAGAGAGACGGACAAACATGCATAGCAAGAAACAGCACAGCACACAACTGCACGGCAGATAAAATGCCAAATCACTATACTATACGCTGAAATATTAGACTGTCCCGTGACCTGAGGACTTCCCCTGTTTGTGGTCTGATTTTACGAAAGTACCGAAGTAACTAATAATAACTAAGAGGGGCGTACTATCCCAGAAACCGCACTTTAGCTGCGTTTGCAACGCTTAACAGATTTCTTCTTCTTTCTATGACTGCTAATCAATACATTGTCTGTTTCTTTATTACATTTAACAGCACTAAGCAGAGAAAGACAACAGATGGATAGAATACTATGCTAGTCGTTATCAACGCTACATTTATTTAGTAACCTTGCCACTAGAAAGAAAAGATCCATTTTCAAACCGATTCGGTTGTTCATCTCGACTAGAGCGATTTGTACCCTGCTCCCTGACGATCGATGTGTCGTTAACTGATTGGAGTGGGATCCGACGACTGTTAGAAAAATGGGAATCGCTTTTTGGCTGGTGAAGTTTAGGGCGGACTTCGCGAATCGTAACTAACAAATTCTCCTTACGCAATAATTGAACAAACCAAGAACTTTAGTGAATTCTAGAACTCTACTTTTGTGTCATAAGTTGAGTAAAAGTTCCCTTTCCACGCCTTTAAGGCATATTGGGCATATATGACTACACCTATATTGTATCAACCAATCGGCAATAGATGGGTAATGTGGTCAATATCACGCGGTCCGCCTTTGCTGCCCAGGACTTTACCTGGTACCCATTTATGGATGGGTCGATCTGGGAGTCATAGTGATATTTACCTTTGAAAAATAATAAAATTGTTGAATGTTAAATTAGGAATCGGTATCATAGTGGGTGTCCGACCGAACAGCTCAGCAGTAGATCAGATATTCATTTAACGGCAAATAGAAGAGCAAAATTAGGAATGTAGAATAGATGTACATAATGTTTTTGTGGATTTTAAAAAGGCGTATGATAGTGTACATAGAAACAGTTTATGGAATGCTATGAAGAACTTTGGAATACCAAAGAAGGTAATTACCATAACCAAACTATGTATGGAAGACACTTGTAATATAATAATATTAAAAGGCAGAAAGTCAGACCCTTTTCAAATAACATCTGGTGATGCTCTGTCCCCACTTCTTTTCAACTTGACTCCGGAACAAATTATAACGAAATTAAAACAAGAGTGTGCTAAAGGAGAATCTACAAGAATACTTGGATATGCAGCTGATATTGATATCGTTGGAGAAAATGAACTAGAGACTGTTAAAACAGAAAATAGGACTAGTTATCTTTCAAGATAAAATAGAATACATGAAAATAACTAGACAGGGAAAGGATATAAACTCTGGCCACACACAAGTCGATAATATGAAAATGAAACAAACGGAAACATATAAGCACGTGGGTGCAAACTTCAAATGCTCTAACATGCTGAGAGAAAAAATACACACTATAATACACTATGGAAATGAAGTATACTATGCCCTTTAAAATTTGGCTAAAGTCAAAGTGTCTGTCTCGCAACTCCAAGATCAAAATATATAAAACGTTGATAAGACAAGACCAGTCGTTTATTATGGCTCTGAAACTTGAAGCACATCTAAAAGAGATTAAGCCTTATTACAGGTTTTCGAAAACAAAGTCACGACAAATCTTTGGACCCATCAAAGATGCAAACAGCGAAGAATGGAGAGTGAGAAGCAATAACGAAATTCATTATCTGTTTAAATCACCATTGATAACTGGTATCATGAGAGCCAATAGACTGAAATGGTTAGGACACATTGAAAGAATGTTAGATGACAGAGAAATAAAAACTATAAACAACGGAGATGTATGGTCGCAGACCACGAGGCAGGCCAAGAAGAACATGGAGAGATAATGTCCAGACAGACCTGCAAGCAACTGGTGACACCAACTAGAAAAAGAAGGCCAACCAGAGAGATGATTGCAGGCGGCTGATATCTGCAGCGATGAACCTCAAGGGCTGGGAATGCTGAAGAAGAAGATCATAGCATTCGGGCCTCTCCCATAAGCGTCCCTATCTTCAGCAGCAAGCGAAGAGTTCCAATTCCTATGGTACCAGTAACTGTTTGATTGTGTGTCCGTCTCGCCTTTCCCTTGAGTGTTGGGAGTCGGGCAGATTCCCTGGTGACCTCGCAGCGGCATTAATTTTATTCGCCTTCTTATTATTATTTGCAGCGAAAAATGTCAATGATGATGGTGATGATGACGATGATAAAGATGATGATGATTTACTAATAATAATATTACAAGAAGAAGAAGAAAAAGAAGAAGAAGAAGAAGAAGTAAAAGTAGAAGAAGAAGTAAAAGAAGAAGAAGAAGAAGAAGAGAAGAAGAAGAAAAAAGAAGAAGAACGCAGCTGATTACAAACGGACTGCTTACCTATTGGGCCTTTTAGTCCCATGTCACCCTTGTCACCGGCAGGACCTGGGAGACCACATTCACCTTTGGTCCCTTTCTTTCCTCGACTGCCCTTTGGACCCGCAGGACCTATGTCCCCCTTTTCCCCTGTGGAAGAGAGAGGACAAATTAGGACATTATTGGGGATGTTTCAAAACTTTATTACAGTCATACAAGTTTTATGTAATCTTTCTTTGTCAATTGAGACGAGAAAGAGAATTCTCACATGCTATATAAATCCTATCTTGATATGAGGAAATAAATCGTGGACAGTTTGTAGATTAGTTAAAAAATTATTTTGAAGCTGCGGAGATGCGGTTTTTAGACGCATAATGAGAATACAGATTAAAAAGAAAACAGCAATGAAGGCGTCTTGAAAGGAACTGACCCTCGAAGAGAACTGATTGTCCATAGCATAAAGAGACTATCTAGATTCTTTAGTCATGTGATGGGAAGGAGAGAACTGGAGTACACTGTGACGGGAGCTAACGGAGGAGAGGCAGAGGGAGACTAAGAGACAAGATACTGGACACTTTGACACCATGACATGGAGGATCATCTGTTTCAGAGCTGATTGAAAGTACACGAGACAGAAGGCTGTAGATAGACATGACTACCAACGCCACGCGGTATGGACTTTAAAAAGAAGACAGATTTGGTAATCAGTCTGTTTTCTTATTAGTGCATGGATAATTAATTTTTTTAAATTTACATTTACTTTCGTTGAAGCCAGAATGCGTCTGACTGGAGAGGGGACGAACTAACAGTCTGCCTACAAATAAGACAGATCTGCAAAACAGATTGATTCCCCATGTGAGTTACATGGCCCAATTGTGGGGACAAATGAATAGACCCACTGCTCCCTTAAAAGCATGTCGTAAGAGTCGACTAATTAGACATGTCCCCCACCACCGCAGTCGGAATGCATCCGCCTGGAGAGGCAAAAAGCCAACAAACAGTCTGCATACCATTAAGCCAGATCAGTTAAACAGATTTACATGCAAAATTCAACTTCTGGAATAAGACTAAAGTCCAGAAACTGAAGAACAACCAAAACTTTCCAATGGATTTCTTCTTTTTCTTTCGTTCGCCTGAAAATAAGCTGTCTGTATGAGCAATTTTGTCTGTCGTTGAAATTTCACAGTCGTTTTCATTTCATTAAGTGGCCCGTAGAGTTTACTTTCCGCATGTATCTTTTTTGGGGGCCAAAAAAAAAAGTGTGCCTTGGTGTGTCATATGTGGTGCAGTGTTGGAGTGTGTATTTAGCTGTCTACGGCGATGTTCCTCATATTCATATAGCTGAATATACCTAGCTTAAATTTCGTAAACATATGGCTGCCTAATCTGTTGTTCCCTTTTCTGAGGCACAGGATAAAGACTTATTATAATATATCTGGTTAATTTGACGTTAGTCTCCCCAAATTGAGCAGGTCACTTTTCATTCTCAAGTTTGTTAGGCTGACGGTTACGGGTGTGTCCCGCTCTGTTGTTTAGTTTCTGCGATGTCTTGCATTTAAGTTTTCATTCCGAAAAAGAGAATGCCTGTGACATATGTTGCAGCACTATCTTGGTGGTGGTGGTGGGGGTGGTGGGGGAGGGGGTGTTAGACTCAGTTTCTTCATGTTTTTGGAGTGTTTAGAGCTCTGTCGTGCTGAAATATAGAATACGCGATATCAAAGGCATTGAGGAACGCCCTCGTAACCTTGTGCGATGGTCACGGGACAACTAATCTGAAGTGAGCTAATGTGTATTTAGGCGGGGTCTGGGGAGACTAACGTCGAACTAACCATATATCTTTAATAAAGTAGTCGTTCTATGTTAAGTATTGTGGTTTTCCGATTGATTTGATGATTCAATGACGAGGATTTCCACTGGTTGATTTGATGATTTATAGCCGTTGAACATGAACAGATTTAGATTCATGCATATGGTAGGAAAGTAGGTCAAGGACTCGTTTGCACACCAGCTACACAACGTGTATACAATGCTTGACCCGCATTTTTAGAGAACAATCAGCTCCTAATGTGTGATGTGATCAACATAACACCTACCGCCTTTACTTGCCAGGCCATTTCCTGGTACAATTGTTAGACTGGGTCGACCAGGAAGTAAATGTTATTTATAACACTTCATCCTTGCTATAGAATCGTCTTCTTCTTCGCGTTCACCAGCTGTAAACAATGGCGGAAAGTACTGGTTGTTCGTCCACGTCTGGACTGTAGTCCTGTTCCAGAACCTTGGTGTTGCGTGTGCATCCGAGATAAAGCCTAAGCTCTTCAGGCTATTAGGCAGGCGTTTAACCACAGCGTCTTCGTAGCCTCGATACGCTTGAGGTAGATTTAATGAGCTTGAAAACCTGGTGGCAACTGATGCATGGATAGGAGAAGAATAATGAAGACAAGAGAGACAATACCTGGTTGGTTTCACGAATAATGTGGGCGATACATTTAAACTGACTAATCCGAGGTTTATAGTATTTAGTTGTAATTTTAAAAATAAGTACTGCTGTATGTAGTTGAAACATGGCCAAGAAGGAAGAAGAGAAGGGGGAATAAAGACAAAAGAAGGAAAGGAGGAGGGAAAGAAGAATGCCCTCTAACATAAAAAAAAATGGTGAGAAAGAGGAGAGAAAAACTATAGTAGAGAAGGAAGAAGAGGGTAAAGACAAAAGCTGTGTTTAGAGGCAGAGAACAGCTGTCTGCTTCAAATTAATCAGATCTGTAAAACAGATGGGCATGCACAGAGCAAGAGTAAAGTCCAGAAGTGGGTGAACGAGAAGAAGAAGAAGAAGAAGAACAAGAAGAACAAGAACAAGAAGAACAAGAACAAGAAGAACAAGAAGAAGAAGAAGAAGAAAAAGAAGAGGAGGAGGAGGTTGCACGTCTATTCACACCTGATGAGCCTCAGAGTTTCTAAACTATGAGATGTCAATCTGAAAAGAGACCTGTGGTTTTGTCCACAGAACAAGATGTTATGGCAGTGACAGAGATAGTTTCATCTTTATGACCAGAACAATTAAAATATACAGAGAGAATGGTTTTGATGCCTCTTTTAGAATATCCATAAGATTGGTCTGTCCAGATTGCTTCTCATATCCGTTGAGGCTTTAAGGATATAATCAGTTTTAAAGAATTTTACAGAAATGCATAAAGCAATATTCAAGAACATACAACTACCTACCTGGTAATCCTCTGAGCCCCATCTCTCCCTTGTCACCCTTTTCTCCCTTTACTGTGGTGTGTCCAAAATGTTCCCTCTCTCCGTTGGGACTCGGAAGTCCAGAGCTGCCTTCCTGGCCACGCAAACCTCTGCAGCATTTGATACACTGATCCTCATAGTAACTTTCCACAAGAAGTGTTGTAGGGTAGCTGAGCATCACAGTCAGAAAGATACCGATGTGTGCAGTCAGTGACATGGCAACTCAGCAGCTGCGGAGAGGGAAAAACAGAGACAGCAGTCATTACATGGCGACTGAGCAGCTGTGGAGAGGGGAAAACAGAGACAGCAGTCAGTGACATGGCGACTGAGCAGATGTGGAGAGGGGAAAACAGAGAGAGAGAGAGCAGTCAGTGACATGGCGACTGAAGAGGTGCGGAGACGAGGAAAAATAGACAGCAGTCAGTGACATGGCGACTGAGCAGCTGCGGAGAGAGGAGACAAAGAGACAGCAGTCAGTGACATGGCGACTGAAGAGGTGCGGAGAGGTGGGAAAAGGAGTCAGCAGTCAGTGAAATGGCGACTGAGGAGGAATGGAGAGGTAAAAAAGAGAGACAGCAGTCAGTGACATGGCGATTGAGGAGGAATAGAGAGGGAAAAAAGAGAGACTGCAGTCAGTGACATTGCGATTGAGGAGGTGCGGAGAGGGGAGAAAGCAGACAGCAGTCAGTGACATGGCGACTGAGCAGTTGGGGAGAGGAAAAAAGAAACAGCAGTCAGTGACATTGCGACTGAGCAGCTGCGGAGAGGGGAAAAAGAGACATCAGTCAGTGACATGGCGACTGAGTAGCTGTGGAGAGGGGAAAAATAGACAGCAGTCAGTGGCAGGCGACTGAAGAGGTGCGGAGAGGGGGAAAAAGGAGTCAGCAGTCAGTGAAATGGCGACTGAGGAGGAATGGAGAGGTAAAAAAGAGAGACAGCAGTCAGTGACATGGCGATTGAGGAGGAATAGAGAGGGAAAAAAGAGAGACTGCAGTCAGTGACATTGCGATTGAGGAGGTGCGGAGAGGGGAGAAAGCAGACAGCAGTCAGTGACATGGCGACTGAGCAGTTGGGGAGAGGAAAAAAGAAACAGCAGTCAGTGACATTGCGACTGAGGAGGTGCAGAGAGGGAAAAAAGAGACAGCAGTCAGTGGCATGGCGACTGAGAAGGTGCGGAGAAGGAAAAACAGACATCAGTCAGTGACATGGCGACTGAGAAGGTGCGGAGAGGTGCGGAGAAGGAGAAAGCAGACAGCAGTCAGTGACATGGCTACTGAGCAGCTGCGGAGAGGAAAAAAGAGACAGCAGTCAGTGACATTGCGACTGAGGAGGTGCAGAGAGGGAAAAAAGAGACAGCAGTCAGTGGCATGGCGACTGAGCAGGTGCGGAGAAGGGGAACAATGACAGCAGCCAGTGACATGGCGACTGAAAAGGGCCGGATAGGAGAAAAATAAAGACAATTTCAATATTTCTGAAACATTAAAAGATCTAGTAGGTGTAAAGCTATACTAAGATGAAGCAAAGAAAAATATCACTACACTTAACCAGGCATGTCGTAAGAAGATACTAAGGCAGCTGGGCTTGGGGTTAACTACCTGGTCCAGTGAAAAACAAAAGCCACAAAAACCTATGAGAAAATTCAGTGAATCAAGATGTGCAGAAAAGACATAGGCCTGGAAATTTACAACAGTTAACCATTTTTGAGACTAGGATCTAAAGAACTAAGTGCAGACTCTGCAATTTAGATCCACCAATTCTAAGCGTTTTCAGAATTTCATCATTATCATAACTGTCAACATCGTCATCGTTATAATCGTCATCATCATAGTCATCAGCTGCAGCACTGTTATCATCATAATTATCATCATCATCATAATTGTCACATCATCATTATTATCACCATCAGCTACAATGTCATCATCATCATCATCCTCATTATCATCAACAGCAGCAGCAGCAACGTCATCATCGTCATTGACATCAATATTATAGTCATCATCATTGTCATTATCAGTGTCAGCATCATTTTTGTCACCGTGATCAACATCGCCATCATCATCAACGCCATCATCATTGTTAGGGTGAGATATTTTTGTCATCATCATCATCATCATCGTCATTATCGTCATCATTATCACCATCGTCATCATCGACATCATTATCACCATCAGCAGCAGCACTGTCATCATCATCGTCGTCATCATTATCATGGTCATCATCATCATTATTAAGGTCATCAGCATCATCATCATCGCCATCATCCGAATACTAACTGTCATCATCATAGTCGTTATCATCATCTTTATCATCATTATTATCATCATCATCATCATTATCATCATCACAATCGTCATTGTTATCATCATCATTATCGTCATCATCAGTGCCATAATCATTATCATAATCATAATTGTCATCATAATTATCAACGTCATCATTATCATCATTCTTTAGAGTTAAACATCACACAGGGTCGCAACCAGTTTCTCTCGTTCTTTCTTTCCTGTGACACCCTTTCGATATCACGAATGGGACCTATCCCAGAACATTTTATATCTGACATTAACTTTTGTGTGACGTTCCCCATGTTCTCAATTCATTTGTTTCTTATTTCTGTGCCCCTTTTGTGATCCTTTGTTCGTTTGTCTCCTAAATGATCAACATATCGCTAACTTACTTCTCTATTCACTGCCGATACCAACGCCTGCGTTTATATTAAGAGTTCTTGCCTCTAAATAGGTCTTTTGAACTCAGCGGTTCTCAAACGTTTTGTTGAGTGGCGACCCCATATTAAACACCCAGAGTAACCCTAAACAGTAAATATAGACTCAGTAGGGGATAGGTTTGGTTTGGTTTGAACAACAGATCAACATCATGACAAAAGGGTAAAGTAACCCATAGGTTAGTTGCGTATCCTTTACAGGCGGTCGCAGAACCAACCACAACAGCCCCTGGCAGTGTGGTTTTTCGAGGCAAATTTACGTCCAGTAGTTTGCCATTGCTGCCTGGACTGTCGGCTTTCTTGATACCACTGTCGAAACCAACGCAAGGCGCATGGCCCGCAGCTGGGATCGAACCCCGCATCCAGGCATTACGAAGCGTTCGCATCGATTTAGCCACAGAGCCGACAGTAACCCATAAGTGCTCTGTTATACTTCTAACTCAATCCTGAGTCAGAAGAATCTTAGCCCAGTGCACGAACTCTGTAGCACTCAGCAAGGATGCTGAACTACTTTGGGTAGAATTTTAACTAAAAATAGCTGTTAGGCTATTCTTTTCGATTTCCAACTACCAATGGATTTTTTACGTGCGCAACAATGCACACACACGGGAGTCCGATCTTTCTACCCCTAAACTACTAAAAGTCCATGTGAAAATAGCCTTCACCGGGGCTGCGGAGATATGTTTTTTTTAAACAAACGAATGATGAGAATACCCTGGACAGATGAAAAGAGTAATGAAGACGCTTTGAAAGAAACTGACTCACGAAGAAAACTGATTGCTCACATCAGAAAAAGACAATCTACATAGTGGAGAAGATGCTGATGCTGATGCTGAAAAAGATTATGATGATGATCATCATCACAGTGATTGAGATGGTGGCGATGACGATGGTGATGATAAAGAGGGTGGTGAGGATAGGAGTGAGGATTTTTATAATGGTGATGATGATAGCAGGATGTGAGGATGTTGATGAGGGTTATAAGGACGACAACGATCATGATGACGATTATGATAATGATAGTGACGATGATGAGGATGATGATGATGAGGATGACGATGGTGAGAATGACGATGGTGAGGATGACGATGATGACGAAGGCGATGATGACAATGACGATGATGAGGATGACGATGATGAGGATGACGATAATGAGGATGATCGTGATGAGGATGACGATGATGAGGATGACGATGGTGAGGATGACGATGGTGAGGATGACGATGATGAGGATGACGATGATGATAAAGACGATGTTGAGGATGACGATGATGAGGATGATGAAGACGATGATGAGGATGACGATTATGAGGATGATGATGATGACGATGACGATGATGATGATGATGAAGACGATGATGATGAGGATGACGATGATGAGAATGTCGATGATGAGGATGACGATGATGAGGATGACGATGATGAGGATGACGATGATGAGGATGACGATGATGATGAAGACGATGATGAGGATGACGATGATGATGAAAACGATGATGAGGATGAACCGGTACGGTGTCCCCACAGAGAAACTACCACAAATAGGATAAGCCTAGAAACGATCAAATAAAGTCAGCATATTGAAGCGTGAGACTTCAATAGTTGTTTTTAACGCCGGGGGTAGTACAATAAATCGTCCAGCCACAAGAGGTGTGATGACAAAGGGATCGATGGTACAGGCACCTCATGGCTGATTCATTGGCAATTAAACCGTGCTAGGACAGAACTGAACGAATGAACGAACGAACGAATAAACAGATTGACGGACGAATGAACGAACATCATCATCATCATCAAGTACATTGAAATCTGGCGTAGGAATTCAAGTATCTTCCCAGATACCGGTCTCTGGTGCTTTGAATGAATTCTGCTGATGATATTCTTCCATGCCACGGTCTTAAGCCATCCATCTTAATTCTCCTGGTGTGCCTCTGCCTCTTCTACCAGTGATCTTTCCAGTCGTCACTATATTTTCCAGGGCTCCTTTTCTCATCACATGACCAAACAACTTTGTCTGCTTCTCATTGTTGTATATAATGTTCTACTTCCATTAGCCATTTCCAGACAATCATTGTAAGCTATTCTGGCAGTCCAGTGAATGAACACAAGATGTATTTTTAAATGTTACAGACTAGGTGCGGAGGACAGTCTTTTGAGTTCACACTGGTCCTTCGAAACACTCATCGTTGCTTCCATGTACGGTGTGGACTTCAGGTTGCCATGCATTTTCCGTGTGCAGCCACTTCTATTCATAACCTTTTGTCTGATGTACTTGCAACAGTTCCAACAGAAACAGAAATCTCCCATGCCATAATGCCAAACTGTCCAGCATCTTTTCTCTCTGTCTCCGTCTAGCTCTTCTCTCTTCCAACTTTTCTACTGTCCCGATGTACTCCAGTTTTCTCCTTCTCATGACACGACTGGATACAAAAGATTGTCTTCTTCTGATCAGATTTGATTTGACTTGATTTGATTCAAGAACCGACATTACCGCACTCGG